AGAACTTACTAGAAAGACCTAGAAACAAGGGTAGCGTACACGCGAAACAAATACGCATGAAAAAGCCTTAAATAACTGAATACACGTTCAAATAAACTTAATAGTACTCTTAAGGCTACAAAGTATAGTAATTGAGCGTAAAACAGCTTAAATTAGAAACCCGTTAAAAACTTGCGCAATGTTGCGCGTGCAAATTTGTTGCAGAGGCGCGCGCCGCTTCAAGTGTCGTACATCGCGCGCGCACAACTTAACTGCTGTCCAGGTAGCTACATGAAGTACATTTCAACCTCGACTCACAACAAACTAGAATCTCTATTCAGATTATTTGCTTTATCTCTCAGTAGTGGGATAAGCAAGGTCAATTAAATGCAAAATATGAACATTTCATGTTATTAGGTAAAACGTTATGGATTGTTTGCAACAGTGGAATGCCTTTTAATAGGAGCTCGGAAGTTTGGAGAACTCTTTTCTATGTGGAAATAATTTGCGATTTTTCAGTTCTGGTGGGCTACAACGTGCAAAAAAGGTTATTCCACGGAAGCTGTTTGCAAATTTGCAAAGTACATCCAACACGAACTTTAATATTTACTATTAAACTCACAGGTCCACGCGAAATAGGGTAGCCACTTAATATAAAATTCCCTGAAGTGAAGTTTCCATAGTCTTTAATGGAGTTTGCCAATAAAGAATGCAGCACACAGATACGCATGATGATGTTTCTGCAAGTACAAATTTAGAGGCTGTAAACACGAAGTGAAAATGAAATTGGAATTGAAGGCAAGGAGGTCGAAATAAATAAAAAAAAGCGATTACTTACCAGCAATCTGATGGTACTTAGCACAAACACTCAATAAGTGTGCCGATATACATAGTAATTACGCTTAAAAGGAAGAAAAAGGAGAAGAAACTAAGCGACTTAGCAACATGGCTTCTTCATGGCTTCCGAAAGAGGTGAACCGCTGATCGCACCGATGACCTTTTCGTATCAGCCAGGCATTCCCTTATGGTAGAGTCGCGAAATGTCCTTTACACCAATTTTTGTGTATTTACACGTGACGCATACAGATATTACTGTTAGTTTTCGCTTCTAGGTAAATAAGTAGCTTACTTGTGGAATGTATGCTCCGATACTGATTTTGGTCTGCTTAGAACAAATGATTTGAAAACGTTACATTGCAGTTTGCTATCTCTTTCGGGGTTATAATTTTTTCGTTCCCGTCACTCTCTCCGAAACTCGGCATTAGATTGGAAGAATTTTTGAGCGAAAACATTGCAGTTTGTTATATATTTTGCTGTTAGGTTAATGACATATTATAATATAATCCGAGAAGTTTCGGAGATTTGATTGGTTGATAGTATCACTATTTCCGCGTAATAGTGGTATAACAGCAAAAATGGATGGTAATAACAAGGTTTCCATGGCAACACTGAACAGAATTACCTTTTTGCTTTTGTTTTCAAAAAAATGGCGGCAAGATTCCCGGAAATTTCTGGTAGGAAATACAAAAGCTCACCGAAAAAGCAGTAAACAAAAATACAGTCAAAACTACTAAGACATGGATGAATATTTGGAAGTCGTGGGT